AAGCAAAGCAGCAGTGGCTATCACCCCTGCAACAAGTAAAGCCACTGTTAAGGAATAATATAGAAACGATCAAAACAATTAAAACCAACAATGCTACAGGTTACCTTGGCTGCACGTCACCCTAGCACAGCATGTGCGATGGACACCAACTTCTGCTGGATCACGCTTGCATCAATTATCGCTCCTGGAGAGCATGCGGCAATCTCCTAAAAACAGTCTACAACCAAAACAACCCGATTAAACACGTTGCAGTGTTAACAGATCTGATCTACAATCAGCCCGTTGGACATACCTTAAAGGAGAAGCAGGACACAGCTCGATGGAGGGAGATTCACTTCAGACCGGTTACGGCAGCGACCAGCACAGAAATTGCTTATCACAACAGCATCTCCCCAGGTGTTATTTATATCCATGATTATTCTGCCAAATTACTAACCAGGCGGTGTAGGCGTGGCCAACCCGCCGGTTACAATTGTTTCATTTTAAACTGTTCTTTTATTGTTTTTATTTGTCTCTGAACCTGGACCTTGAGTCTGTAATAAAGTGTCATTCATTATAGGCAAAAACTTAAACAGGACAGGACATTGTATAACCAGGCTAGAAACACAGTGTCAAAGGAGATCATAGTAGCAAAGAGGAGCTACTTGGAAAGGCTGAAAAATCAGTGTCGAGCCAATGAACCATCATCAGTATGGAGAAGCCTATGGAACATCACCGGGTACAGAAGACCATATTGCAGATTTGAAAGGCACAACTCTACACCCCTCTCTCACCTCATCTGGGATCCACAACCTGTAGCTGCTTCCTCTAGGACTACCTCTTCCCCAATCAACCTCTAAGAATCTGTGAAAGAGATGTGTGTTGCCTTTTTAGGAAACAAAGGATCAGAAACGCAACAGGCCCAGATGGCATGACCCCCTCCTGCCTGAAAGTGTGTGCTAATCAGCTGGCCCCCATCCTCACACTCATCTTCAACAGGTCACTGGAGCTGTATGAAGTTTCTTCCTGCTTCAAATGCTCCACCATCATCCTAGTCCCCAAGAAAACCCCCATCAGCAGACTTAAGTACTACAGACCTGTCGCCCTGACATCTGTAGCAACCAAACAGGACAGGAACAGACTCCTGCGGACAATCAGGACTGCAGAGAAAATCATCGGTGCCAGCCTGCCCTCCATGGAGGACCTGTACACCTCACGGGTCAAAAGGAGGGTGGAGAAGATTTCTGCAGACCCCTCACACCCGGGACAATCTGTTTGAACTCCTCCCCTCTGGACAGCATTACAGGTCCATGTGCACCAAGACAACCAGGCACAGGGACAGTTTCTTCCCCCGGGCCATTACACTCATGCACAGTTAGTCTATGTTTTGCTCTTTTAATTTGTATATATTGGGTATTAATTCAGTTTTTATTGTTGAGCACATCAGGGGCCACTGGGCTGTAATCAAATTTCTTGTAGTTTTGATAATACTTGGCAATACAGTTTATACTTATTCTTTATGATCTCCTATAGGCACGTTTAAAGACATGAAAACACTGCTTTGACTAACAATTTGTTTTATTTTCTTCACAAAAATGTTCATAAGGGGCTGGTGCACAGTGGATCGGGCAGCTGTCAAACCCAAGGGCCCTGACAACCCGATCTCTGGACACAAAGACTAACCCTGGGGACATGGAATGTCACCTCGCTGGTGGAGAAGGAGCCCGAGCTTGTGCGGGAGGTTGAGAGGTACCGGCTAGGGATAGTCAGGCTCACCTCCACACACAGCTTGGGCTCTGGAACCACACTCCTTGAGAGAAACTGGATTCACCACTACTCTGGAGTGGTGAGAGGTGGCGGGCTGGTGTGGGTTTGCTCAGTGTTGGAGTTTACCCCAGTGAACGAGAGGGTCATTTCCCTGGGCCTTCGGGTCGTGGATAGGTCTCACTATCATTTGTGCCTATGGGCCGAATGGCGGTGCAGAGTACCCGGCCTTCTTGGAGGCTCTGGGAGGGATTCCGGAAAGCGCATTCTACTGGGGCACTTCAACGCTCACGTGGGTGATGACAGTGACACCTGGAGAGGCGTGATTGGGAGGAATGGCCCTTCCCAATCTGAGCCCAACAGATGAATGATGATAAGCTCCAAACTAGTTGTGATGCTGTTACAGAATCATCTCCAAGGTCAACCTAATTAGTTTTAGGAGAGCACAGACACTGTTTCTTTCTTCAGCAGGTGGATATAAAAAAATACAGATATCCTGCAAAGTGAAGCTCAAAGATCAAAATAAAGTGACAAGAAAACACATTTTTGAGTAGAGAGGGGCTATAATGGATATGCTAATCAACTCAGTTGTAAAATCTAGCTTCTTCCACCTGAGGCTGTTAAGCAAAGTCAAGTCATTCCTTTCTTTTAATGATTTTGAGATTGGAATCCATGCATTTATCACTTCTAGACTTGACTATTGCAATGTTCTATACTATGGTGTTAACCAGTCTTCCCTCACTCGTCTCCAAATGGTGCAAAATGCTGCTGCTCGTCTTTTGACAAGTACTAGAAAATTCGAGCGTATAACCCCGGTCCTGGCTTCTCTCCATTGGGTTTCAGTCCATTTTAGAATTGATTTTAAGCTGCTGATTTTTGTTTTTAAGGCTCTTAATGGTTTGGCACCTACCTCATTGAATTAGTGCACTGGCACAAAGGTACCTCACATCTTCAACCCAGTTTCTTTTAGAGGTTCCTAGGTCCTGATATTTAAACACTGGGAACATATTTATTTGGCTTGGCGTTTACTACACAGTAGGGCCTGATGCATTCCTTTTAATTTTGATTTATTGAATGTATGTCATCTGTGTGTCTGTGTTATTGTTTTATTTTATACACTGATCTTATTTATTTTATTTTAGTCATTTATTGTCATTTTATTCTGCCATGTAAAGTACTTTGGTCAACTGGATGTTGTTTTTAAAGTGCGATATAAATCAATTTGATTTGATATGTTAACCAATTAGCAGAGGGCACCCAGCAAACATTCAGCCTATACTGGAGACAGAGAAGTTGCAATCTGTGTGAACAACCCTTTTTCTTCTTTCTAAGTGACTACAGGAAAAACCCTGTGGTGTAGATGATCTGACTACACCATGGTCCCCTTTTGGACAAGCAGTATCTGTGACATGCAGAGTTTTATGATAAATATAACCTTTAGCTGTGACAGGGCCATGGCACTTTCAGATTTTCTTGGATTACTTCTCTCTACTGGTGTTTTTTAGAGTTGTAAATGGCTCAGTCCTGCATGTGACTGGCCTTTCAAACAAGACAGGCCATACCGTTACACACTGCAGGAGCCGCAAATACAACTGGCTACATTTTCTACCAATAAGTAGTGCATGGGTGCTGAGGGGGCAGCATTAAGGTTACAGACGCCTATAGGTTTGACCACCACTCCCATCAGGCCATAGGAGTCTGGCAGGTTCTAGTAGAACCACACCAACAACTAGTCTTGTGTTGTTTTGTTTTTTTCAAGCTGTCATGGTCTGGAGAGTAATAGGTCATGTGGGTATTGACTTGTTTATATGAATAACTATTTCTTAATATTAGCAGAGGGCACCCAGCAAACATTCAACATGACTGTTGAATATTGGCGATTGCACTTGTAGTTACAACCTACTATTAAAATGGTAGGGTTTTTTTGTTGCTGTGGTTGATTCATGAGGGAATAGTGGCTTGTTGCTTTAATGTGCGTAATGCTGCCTCTGCTGCCTGTAGTTTTTAAAGGGGGTCTGGGAGAAGTCTAACTTTCGCCAGTCAGATACAAACTGGAAGTCAGTGTTGTTCAGAGCTGCATGCTCCGCCTCTTACCCTCCCCCTGAGCAGCTCTGTGTGTCTGTGACGAAAACATCACGGAGACACAGAGGGAGAGAGTTAAGCTTAAGGCAGCAGGATAGGATGTAAATTTAAACAGTTCTCTACATTTGTAAAGAAAAGTCTAAAGTAGTAGCTTTAAACTGTTGTTGAACTGCATTTTCAGTGCCTTGTACTGGAACATGGGTAATGATAAGGAAGTGAATATAGTCTAATTTGAGTTGAAACAATGAGTTTAAAATACTGTTTTGAAAAAATTAGCTTTGTTCTCAGTTGCACGTTTTACATTTATGCATTCCTCCAATTTAGTTGAACACAGTCAAAAATAGGTGTATTGTGAAAGACATAACTGCATAAGAAGGAGTCATGGTGTCGGAAATGATAAACACGTCTCCAGTCATAGTGATTGGGAATAAAAATCCGTTGCTGGTGGAGGAAATTTATAGATTATCTCAAAAGTGGAACAAGAGAACGCGACACTTGTTGGCATTCTGGCCCTTGGACGGAACATTGGATAAACATTTGTGTGCCGAGATGAAAATGCTGATAATTAATTATAAGGCTGAAGATAAATCTGCAAAGCGTGCTTGCAAACGTGAACAAGAACTTGGTGTCTTGCAATTATTTAGTAGTCATGCTGAAATAATAAGTGAAAAAACAGCCCAGTATGGTAGAGAATCAGCTGATGAACTGGTGGAGGCTGCCAGGTTGGAGCAGCTGGAAGATGAAATAATTGATTTGCTTGACATATATTTAAAAGCATTAAAGCTTTCTGGTAAAAATCCCAGACGTTTAAATGAGATGCATAATCAGAGTGTGAAGGTTGAACAGGAAGAAGAGATGCGGTGCGGTGAGGTAGCAAAAGGGGAGGTGCTCTGCTTTGCTCCATCCTGTACACGGGTGCCCATCCTCAGACCAAAGCCGGAAGCTGAGGTGAGTAATGACCAAGGGGGAGCTACACCCAAACTCCCCCATTCTGTTCATCCAATGTCACACCAACCGGAAGGGGTGCTCTGTTCCCCGGCTGGAAAAATATGGAAGAAAAAGGTGCCTGTGCCTGTGACTCTTGTTTTAGCCAGCCGGACCCCCTCCATCTTCAGTGCCTGCTGTCGTCATCCCCCAGCTGGTATACACACAGCCAGGGGGGTGGGCTGGAAGGCCTCAGAGCACAAGAAGGTTTCCTGCAGACCAAAGAGCAAGGTGCCACCACTGTGGGAGGATGTGAGAGACAGCGGCCCCGAGTGGTCTCGTGGCAGATTTACCCAGGATCAACAGGGCAACCTGGGGCATGGGGACCTATGAACAAAGGGACGGGTTCCCCGCTTAAGTATTCATCACTGGGACAACAATAAAGAATGTGAGTCATGCTGACTTTTTCAAACTCTATTTCCTGCAGTTCCAGAGCAAGGAAAGAGATGGCTAAACTGCAAGAAAGGGTGTCTGGAATGAGACATTGTGTTACTGGCTGCACAAAACCAAATGACTGTGGGGGCAAAGAAAGAAGGAGAAAAGACAAGGCCATGGTGTATTGGTCTGGATGTGGATAACACCTTTATAAATTTAGTTAGAATGTGAATGAAATTATTAATGATGATCTGTCAAGAGGCCTCACTTCCTGTCTGTCAAATTCAC